CTACATGGACACATATACTAATTAGGGATGGATGAACTGATCTGAAAAAATAAATAAAACTATTAGATGTGGCCAAAATTTTGGCCTTCCTCTCTTCAAAACCAAATGAAATCTTTATATGAATTCAAATGTTTGACATAACTTAAGGCATTAAAAAAAATAATCCCTTCCCAGACCCTCCAAGTGTCCCTATTTTCCAGGGACGTCCCTGATTTAGAGAAGCCATCCCGGTTTGTCCCACTTTTCCTTAGGACATCCCTATTTTCATTGGAGAAATGTTGGAGGTTATGGAGTTATCTGACCCCTGAGCCATCTGAAGGCAATCCTGTATAGGAAAGGGTTGTTTTTTTAATGTTTAATGTTTTATTATGTTTTTATATATGTTGGAAGCTGCCCAGAGTGGCTGGGGAAACCAGTAAGATGTGTGGGGGATAAATAGTAAAATTATAATTATGGAATGGGATGGGATGTCCCTATTTTCAGCAGAGAGATGTTGGAGGGTATGCCTTCCATCATCAGATCACTCAAATATGTGGGTTTGCAAACTGTGTCCCCAGGATTGCTTGGAAATATATCTGTAGTTCCTCAGTGGGAAAGGCAAGAATAGTAGGCAAGCTTTCATGAAAGACATCTTGTTCACCTTTGAAGATTTTCCACTTTGGCTGGGTGTGTTCCAGACTTTGCGCCCAGATTCAGTTCACATAAGGTTAAGGATGAGTCCTAGCAGGGCTGACCAGTACAATGCATGTGGCCTAAAATATGATCCAGAACTATCTGCAATGCATAAAGAACCCTTGGCAGACAAGTAAATGTGAAAAGTTTCCCAAAGATATTTCAAAAGTCTGTGGCTTTGAATAAAGCCTCTTCCAATTAAAAGTGTTCCAACTGAATCCCTGTGGGCTACATATGGGCAAAAGATGAACCATATGTAGGAAGCAGGTGCATGTTGACACCTCGATCCAGCTATATATCTATAACCACTCATGGCCAATGGAAGAGGACAATAGTCACATTTGCACTAGGCTGCCCCTTTTTGTCCATCCTTTCACACCATCTCTGAACTATCCTGAAGTGCTGGATTCTATAGCCATTAATGTCAAGTGAAATATTTCACTACAGCTTATTATATTTTAGAAGTTTATCATCTCATATTCTCTTAAAGTTCCCCAATAGTACCTAACAAAAGGGTATTGATAATTGGACGTGTAGGCATATCCCATAAAATAGATTCCTGGCTCATTCAGGTGAACAGACACATCATAAAAGGTGCGAATATGTAACACTGGTTTCTTGCAAACAACTTTGAAATTTACATGCTAGTCAGTGGAAACCAAGGACATTTGCAAAAAGTGAAAATTGCTAATGTGCATTTATTTTTAGAAGTGAAAAATCAATGGAAAGTTAATGGAATCGTTAAATAGCAAATACTTCCTTAGCGTATCTAGAATACCTCTGGAAATCACATTAATATAATGAGCTGTTGGGATCCCTTTAGAATTGTGCATATCAAACCAGTTTGCAGCATGCAAGTCACTAAGTGGGGCAGGAAGGATAAAGCAATGAAAAAGAACTAAAAGGTACTGTGGTTTAGTAGAAAAGAGATCAGACGAACAGGAAGGCACATAAAACTTTTACAGGGTGTGGTCCACAAATCAACTGTGCTGTACAGCACTGCAGTACACAGCACTGTGTTCTGCTGATTACTCTTCCTTTTCTCCCTTATTATAACCAGGCACAACAAGGATCCAGATACCACATGGCCCAGCATTCATAAAACAGCCTTCGACACTAACTGTGAGTGGTGGAAGCTGTTGCAATGACCCTTGGCAGGCCTGGCCATCTTCTGATCCACAACTGCTCTGTTATATCATAGCTGTGGGCTGGGTTGTGTCCCCACTCTGACTTAAACTCTTGAGTTTTCTGAGACCTGGCTCGCTGCTAACAGTCTTCTACGTTAATACATATTGACACCAGGGAGGCACCTTCTCTGTATTCTTTTGGGTGCCTGTTAAAGACATTTTGTTTAGGCAAACCTCCCCATATACTGTATGTAGAATGTTGATGTGTGTTTTAACATATTTTATCACTGATTTTGATTTTTTAAAAAAATGTTTTAAATAGTTGCTTTTAACCATCTTTACCAATAATTTTATTGTTTTATTCTTTTTGTAAACTGCTTTAAGTTTTTTTTAAAACAATCAAGAGGTGTGTAATTTTTATGAAATAAATAAATGCAAAACAACACAAGACAGAATTTTAAAAAATTACTAAGACAAAAAACCCCACCTTTTTAAACACACATCACACACAAAGGGATATTTTCATGAAAGCACCACTCTAAAGAAAAAAAGAGTTTCACCAAACGACTATATAGGACATGCAGCAGTCAATTCAATTGGCTATAGTTAGCAACATCACAGTTTTCTACATACGGCCTAGGAAAGTAGGGGTAGCAACCAAAACAGGTGGATACATGGGAAGGACAGGAGAGGACCATGCTTACACCAAATCCCATATTTCTTCAGACCTCAAATATGTTTTCAACAATGGCGAAACTTTAGGCGATCACAGAGTTGGGATAACAACAATTCCATCTATAAAACTCATTTCAGGGTTACACCTACTGCCCACTGCCCCATCCACATCATTACAACAGAATATAGGATATGGCATAATTATGCACTCAATCAAAACCCATAAGACTTGTCTATAAACTCCCCAACAAAGGCCATAACTCAGATGACAAAGCATTTGGCATGGGGCTATATCTCTCTGGCCTCACATATCATGAACACTTAGAGCACACAAAGAAGAATTCTGGCAATGGAATCCATAGAGAAAGGGCACTTTACATACAAAGGGAGCACTTGGCACAAACAGCTAGACCTCTCATGACACACAAATAGATGGCTGCCACTACTATTTGGCAAGGGGAAAGTGATAAATGATTAGGCCTGCTATCTAGTGTGGCTAGTCTACCAGGCAAAATGGCAGGGGAGGGTTGATCACAATGGTTGCCAAAAGGGCTGGTTGGTCTATACATGAATTAGGCTACCGTCTCACATAGCACACCTTGATTAGCACAGAAATGACTCTCTCTCTGGGACACTGTGTGTTGGGAACTCTCTTCCAGGAGGCGCTCCTCCCCCAGATTAAACCAGGAACCTCCTGCATGTAACATCTGAGCTGTTCCACAGGGCTAGGCCTCCTTCTGCGGCCATGGTCATCCTGGTTTATGTATTGGTCATATTGCAGCTGAGACATTTCTCCATGAATGTCATATTACGTATCTGCCTTCAGTTGACTGCTGTGGCTGAAGAAGTTGGGTGCTTCTTTGTGGAGTTTGTGGTGTGACCCAAAGTCCTGGCAGCTTCCTATTGTTTGTCTCTGACATGATTGCTGCTGGCTAGAAATGCCAAAGCTGAGTGGGACTTCTTGGCATTCCCTATGGTGGGCCTTGAAATCCAACCTGTTTGCATGCCCCATGCCCTATGCACTGAGTTTTGGGGAAGCTACAGGGGGTATGTTTGTGGCTTTCTTTGCTGCACGCCCCAGTTTTCTGCCTGGCAAAAAGCTCCTTTCTCCCCACTTTCCACAGAAAGACTTCTGAACTCTTTCGGCAGGCCTCCATCCAAAACATCTACTGTATAGGGAGGCTGTGTCCTATACAACTTTGTTTCCTTTGTGGTATGCAGTCGAAAAGCTTCAAATGTGGGTGGTGTGACTCAAACCCCTTCCTGCGGGGCTTTTATGGTCCTGCTGTTGACTCAGCAGTGAGAGCTTGTGGAGTGCAGGAGTGGGGATGTTGCTGTGGCATCATGGAGGGGGGAGGCTGGCAAGCTTTCCCTGTGACTGAATGCATTGTTTCCATCTACAGTATATCTGGCCATCATGAAGGCAATGCCATAATGTCAGGGAACTGCCATCGGAGCCAGAGGGAGAGGGAGGGCTCCAGAGGGATTCCGAAGAGCGTCCCGGGAGGGAGAGAAGCAGCACATCTTCTAGGGAAGGAAATCAGTGTAACACCAGTGGAGAAGGGGGGCAGATGGGGGAATCAGCGAGGTGGCTCCAAGACTCCTCGCCGGGAACCAGTGGGGAGAGCACGGGTCCTCCGATGCCCACACCCTCCCTGCGCAGAAGGCTTCTGCGCAGAGAAACTAGGTGGAGACTAGGTGTCAAAGAGCTTCTTTGCTGGAAGAAGTTCAAGAAACGCCCACTAACGGATTCTGCCAGCGATTGAGACAGCCACGGGCATGTGGCTGTCCAGACAGAAAGGGTTCATTCAGGCAACCAGCCAAGGGTGGCGTTGATTTACACACAAGCAACCCCTTAGAACCATTACACATAATGTTGTCACATTCACTCCATGACACTGCCGCAACATCCCTGCGCCGGTCAATATTGGGGGGGGGTTGTAAGCAGTGCTCCTATGCACATAGTGGTTGTCACTGTTGCTCCATTCTGTTCTTTGGGGAGTTGTGTGTTTTCTTCTTTGGGGAGTTGTGTGTTTTCCTGTTCTGGATCAGGAAAGGATATGGCAGGCACTGTCCTGCTGCTGCAGCGGCTTATATCCTCCCTGCACCCCACGCCATCCGGCATAATTGGGCCATACTTGGAGTAACGGCTTGCTTGGTTAGTCATCGTATGCAGCTACTCACAACTTGTAAACACTGTAGCTAATATTGCATTCAGAATATCTAGCTATTCTCTAGTCTTCCTCTGCCAGACTGTTTAAACAGTGACTTAACTCCAAGTGTCACAACTGAGGAATGGCATAATGGCATAAATGACTCTTACAGCTTCCGGATAATACCTTGTTTAAACAAACCTTGTTTAAAGGAATGAAAATCATGAGTCAACATTCCCAACATGCCAAGTTTTAGGATTTTCTCAAACCAAAGTACTATTAAGCCCCAACAAAAATTCTGACGAAATCACGCCTTTATAAGGAATTGGTATTCATCAGTTCAAAAATATGAAAGAATAATGATCGCAAGTACCTGTTTGTCCTGTCTGGCATCTCGTTTTCGGTACAATACATTTTTTTGTCTCAGTTGTATGTGGGCATGGTTTGCCCTTTGTAGTAGGAAGTTGTAAGATTTCTCTTTTCCTCGTTTCATTCCCCCTTTTGAAACCGCACGTTTTCCCTCTCTTCATGCATGGACTCCATGGGCTCCATTCACTAACTTTACAATGCACTGCAACAAAAATATGACATAAATTAAGTATGGCCTCTATAAATTTAAAGTGGAGACGCTATATGTAGTTTTTTGTTACACACACACACACACACACAAAAAAAATCTTTAATAAAAAATAATTTAAAGAAAGCAAGTAAGTATGGCCAAATAGCCCCAAATTTATGCAGAACTTACACAATATATTCTTTTCACACCTTGCACATCACATATTTAATCTACATGTGCATCAGAGGTCTAGAGAAAATTAATCTTTATGATCTTGAATGTATGTTTTCTCAAAGGCTTGTTTCATATGAGGTGCTTGCTCAAATCAGAGTGTAAAAGCTAAGGGCAATTTCATGGAGTAGCACTGCCAACTTTTTCACTTTCGTCTGTTTCTGTGCCATTAGCAGCATTCTGATCCACAAACATTAGTAAGTGGTAATGTTTGTCTCCATGCTACAGAAAGCTTAACATAAGGATAGCCCTGCTAGAGGCCCATCCGCCCCAGTATGCTATTCTCACAGTGGCCATCCAGAAGCCCATGAGAAACCCACAAGCAGATCCTGAGTGCGACAGCTCTCTCCCCACCTGTGATTCTCAGCAACTAGTATTCAGAGGCTTGCACAGTGGAGGTAGAACATAGGCATTGTGGGTAGTAGCCATTGTGACTAGTAGTTCATTGGTTGATGCAAGATCATCTGTTTGGGCCAGTTGGAAATCATCACCTAGCATGACACTGGGTTTTCAGTGCTGTTAAGTGAGACAACTTGAACAGCTTAGCAAATAGTTAGCTGCCAAACAAGTATTGTATCATTCAAGTATTTCAGATACATGTAAGATGCAAGATTCAGCAACAGTGGTCCTACTAATGGTAACTTTATAGTGATGGCTTTAGCACATCAGTGTGATTAGACATAACTTGATATGTTCTGTACTCTTTGAGACATATTAACATGGGCTTTCGGAGGTGTGATTCTGTTAATTTGGTGAGAGTCACACCTGCTCGCAGCAGAAAGCTTGAATCAATATGCTAAGCATGTAATCTAGTAAACACAACTCCTAAGAAGAAAAAGCTTGAACTAAACGAATAGGCTTTCCTTGGAAAGTAGCACTGGCTGAATTGATTCCTATGTACAGATTTAGGCATTGGTCAAATAAACATGGTTCTTGCAGAATGAGGCCATTGAATAGATCCAAGTTGTGACCAGTCATCTCTGACTAAATACTTGCAATGCCTTATAGAGGATGTAGACATAAGTTCATGTGTCAAAATATAAATGCACACATAAAAAATAGATACACTTCAACTGTATGGAAGCACCGGGAGCATCCAGAGCAAAGGGGAAGAGAATGAACAGCAACCCTGTCTCTCTTGCTGCTTTTAAGAACTGCACCAGGAAATAATACACAGTGGGGCATGTGAGACAGATCATCTACTACAGGGTCTAAGAAATCTGATTGCCACTTCCTGCACTTGGCACTTTTGAGGAACTGGTTGCTGGTTGTAATAATAAACTGCGCCAGAAAGTTTTGTCATACCTGACTCTGGTTTATGTATTTTAACACAGGGGTGAGGAACATGTAGCACCCTCCCCCAGATGTTGCTCATTTCCCATAATGCCAGACCACTGGCCATGCTGGCTGAGGCTGAAGGAAGTTGGGAGTTCAACAACATTCGTATTGAATTGTTATAAGTGGGTGTGATCTTCTATATTCTGCTTTTTTTTCAGCTTGTAAACCACATTGTGTATAGAAAGGTGGTATGCAAATTAAAAGTGAAATGAAATTAAAGCATCTGATGGGCCACTGGTTCCCCCCCACATAAATATACATATACATCATATACATATGCATATACATATTATATAGTGAGTTTAAAATGGCACAACTGTTAGAATTGAAAAAAAATGAATTATTTATTTGGGTTGTGGTATTATGTTTTGAAATGAATTGGTATTTTAGGATTTAATTCAAATGATGCAACCCAGCTGCTCATGGTGGCAGTAGCAGAAAATCTAGGGAGGGGGCAGGACAACCAGGCTTCTCCCCATTGTGAGTTCTGGCACAGTGATCTTGATGAAGTCTGATGTTGGTGATCAATGTCTGTAAGACTGGCTTGGGATCCAGTGCATCCCATCCCACCATGCTTTTGAAACACTCAGTTTACTGTATTTCAACTAGGATCCGCTAGCAGGAATACTACCATACACCAGCAGGCCTCCACCATACTCATACAACCACAGAAAAAGTTATGACAACCATCATAACAAGTAAGTCCACAGAACACCCCCCCAAAAAAATCTTTCAAATGTCTACAAAGGTGGGAAACCCCTTTTCTGAAGTACCAACATTTTATTTGTGAATATTTCCCCGTTGCAAGGTTTAAACTGCATGTCTAAGCAAAAACCAACAGAGCCTATATTCCACAAATGGAAATGATGTACTGGGTACAGCTTTTTGGGACAGACAGCTTACTCACCAATATTGTTGCACTCCATAGTGTGGTTGTTGGTTTCCAGCCAGTCAGGGCAGTTTCCAAGGCACTTTCCAAGGTGTAAGTAAAACCCATTTCTACACTTTGTGCAGAAATTTCTATTGAAGCAGGTTTCACAGTCAGCTTTACATTCTGAAGGGCGAGAAATAAGCAATTACTATCTTCCATGTATACCATGATCTACTTAAGTTAGTGTGATGCCATATGCAAGACAGAGTTTGTATCTGTTAGGGATCAGCAACTGAAGATGCTTGGGTCAACCCTATTGCAAGAAGAATCTGGCTGGAAGGACTGACAGTTATAGCACCAGGCTGGCCCATGATCTATCTGCTTCTCAATGTGGCTAGCTATAAAGCTTAGTGCATCCAGACAGAATCATTTTGAGTGGTTAAGCCTCTGTGGAAGCACACTCATCACACTATGTCCCAATGTATAATTTTCTGTCCAGGATCAAGGTTCAAGGAAACAGGTTCTGTCACTTTGCAACATCACAAAACCCATTACCCACATACTACCATAGTAGTTTTACAGCTCTTTTAAAATGAGGCTTGCCTTAGATAAAAAAAACTTTTATCATTCCTACCATAATTATTAATAACAACACAACAAACATTTAAATATTATGCTACTTTATTTTATTTTACTTTTTAAATAGCAAGACAACCAGCCAACAGGTTGTACCCTAGGAGAGACCAATATTTAGCATTTTATTTTCACTGTGCATAGCCACTGCTTTCTCTCCCTTAGCCAAACTTGAATAAATTGGATTCCTAGGCTGTATCAGTTTCTTCTAACATCGAGGGTTATGCTTAGTTACATTACTAACTTTAAGTGAAAAGTTGATAAGGAGAGGTGAAGGACTGGAGCTCCCTGGTGGAGACTGGGAATTTGGCTGGCCATCACTCTACTCCCAAGTAAATGGATGGTAAGTCACTGAGAGCCTCACTGCCCCCCCCCCAGATTTGACAGAGAAGCAGGTGGTATCAAGAAGAGAGCAACACAACAAAGGGGCCCATTGCCAGTGGACTATCTGATGGGGTAGCGTTGGAATAGTGGCTCATATCTATGACAAGGGTTCACAAGAAAGCATAAAAAGAGTAGCTGCAACTTTTCCTTCAACTTACTTTTACACTCATTTCTTTCTGGGTACCGTTGTCCATAATATCCATTGGGGCAGGATGAAAAACACATCCCTATCTCTCTAATTTGACTCCTCATCAGGAAAAAAAAGAGTCGAGGTTTACATGTTAAGCATCCATTGAACTGGGAACATGTTGCACATCCTTGGCAATCTTGGCTCATATCGAGATTCACTAAGAAGAAAAGTAACACAAACAAACAAAGGGGAGTTAGCTAGATAACATCTCTGTAATCCATAAATCTTCTGCTGAAACCGCATTAGGGGTTTTTTATGGTTTTGGGTTTTTGCAGCTTGGAACCCCACATTTCACAAGGGGCATTATTTCTTTACTATGATTAATAGTATCACTCTCATGCAAAAAAAAAGCTCTGGAATCCTTATGAAAAGAAAGAAAAATAACAAAATATACCAGTGGCCTGAACATATATATGTTTACTTGGAATAATACGTTGTGCGCAATGGGGCTTACTTTCAAGGAAGTGTCTGTAGGATTGCAGCCTCAAGAACATGTGCATGTTATTCATAAGTCTTACTAAATTATATTCCTTCCAATAAATTAACTAGACCTTACTCCCAAGTAAGTAGATTGAGGACTGGATCATTCTGTGATATTATGGCAAGTGGACAAAGCTGTATTGTAACTTTTGAATAAATATTTAAATTTTAAAAAGAGAGACTAATACAGCCTTAATCTTTATCCACTGATCCAGTAAGTTTGCCCCCCCCCAACTGTGCTCTAGGGAATTCTGTGTTTTGCAAAACCTTACTACTATCTCATACTGTGGTGATGTTCAGATTGCAGTCTTACTTCATTTGAGGCAATGGTGAAGCCCAAAAGGCCTATCCAATGCCTTATGTAAACTGAACATGTGACCTAGAACATGCTGGAGTTTTATAACAGACACGAGGAAGAGTTCCTTGCAGAGGAGTCATTTTGAAAAGCAAAAATAGTCACAGTATAGAAAAAGTAGCTTCATTTGCATTGGCAACAGAGAAATCAAAGCAATATTATGCAGATGTGAATGTTGTATGTTGTTTTAAGAATATTTTAATTTTAAATTTAATTGTTTTTCAATTTGTTGGGTTTTGGCTTACTTATTTTATTGTTTGGTTCACCTGGTCTTTGCAGTCTTGCTTTTGTTATTGCCTATGTACTAAAAACAAACCTTGAACTAAGTTTGCAATCAGCTCTAAAACAATACTTGGTTCAACCAATCCAAGAAGAACATCACAAGCCATGAAAGAAGAAAAATCAATAAGAATAACCTGTTGTCTTCTCCACATTGCATATGTATGCATAATCATCACCAATGAGACCTAAAAATGAGAAGGTTCAAATACGTATACTTTCTTCACTGTCCTTCTGAGCCTAAACAATTCTGAAGACTATATCACTGAAACTAAACTTACAAACGTTGCTGTTTAATATTGAAAACAGCATTTTTGAAAAGCAATTTGTTCAGCTTCCAAGATATTGGTCCACTTCAGCAATATACTATTTCAATGTACAGTCATACCTCGGGTTAAATATGCTTCGGGTTGCGCTCCATGGTGACCTGGAACGGGTTTCGCCGTTCATGCATGCGCAGACAGTCTAAATGACGTCACACACATGTGTGGAAGCAGCGAATTGTGACCCACAGATGCGGGTTGTGATCCGGAATGGATCCCGTTCGTATCCAGAGGTACCACAGCATGGCATACAGTTTTCCAGTGGTTGACAATATGCTAATTTGTCTGTAATTTACTGGGTGCAATTTGGAGCCATTTAAACAAACTGGCACCACCACTGCTTTGAACCCACTAAGAGGGACATGGCCAGATTTAGCATTGTGGGTAAATAGCCTGGTGAGAGTTGTGACACACCAATCAGCATAAGAGTAGAGTAATTCAAATGGAATAAAAACTAAACTGGAGGTATTCCAGGTTTAACTTGTGCTATAAAATTAAATATATCTGATTCTAATACAGGTTCCCAGTCTTGCAAAGATGTGACCATTTTGGATTTCCCAATACAAGTAAGTGTGATTTCCGACAATCTGTTTTCTCCAGATCGTGATCCAAGGGTTGGGTCAGGTTCAGATTGTTCCAGGTTAGGTCAGGCTGGTCTGAACCACCAAATCAGGCGCTAAGTCAGATGTGGCTTTGGGGCAGGTGTATGCAGTCCGAGTACGAAATGTTAAAGACCAAATAATATATCAGGCAAAATGTGTCTGTTCTTCAGTAACAGGTCAAACACCTAAACCTGCACTATGAAAACTGGGATCTTGAATTTGCTGAGAAATGTTCCAAGAGAAAATCTACCAGAGAAGTATGCAAAACTTATTCAGTCTGTTAAGTTTCTTTACCACAATAGAAATAGCTTTGATTAGCCACATGAATGACAACTGGTTTGAGCTTAATCCAGTTGGTTTAAAATAAATAAATAAATAAAAAATAATGGTAATAATAATATAATATTAAAAACATAATAATTATTTTCATATTGAATGAAAGATTTTTCCCCCCTCCTCCAATATACCATCTAGTTTCTCCTATATTTATAGGTCGGTTCAGGAAAGAATACAAATAATTCCACAGGGGTCAATGTACCTTGAGGTTTATTTGAATGGAAAATCTGCACGACATAACAATACTCCCCAAGAAAGGGACTAACAGAAATTTCTAGAAATAATTACCATTATTACTGGCAAAGGCAACTTACTTTTCACTCTCAATCCAATCTGACCCTGTTCTACTCAGACAAGAGGTCTATAAAATCTGATACTTCTTATAATTGAAGACTGCAGACTGTATGATTACCTTTCTTTCATGCAAGAAAAAAGAGCCTACAATAATAAAGGGACTATGGAATAAAATAATGAATTCACTACAGTGAGGACTGTGGAAGTTATTAACTTCTATGGGCTAGGCTCAGACAATCTGACCAGCCATGCATTGTGGAGGAACAAAATATTAATTGCACATTTTGTCCCTATTAACATTGGTGGTTTTTCCCTACACGTACCTACTATTCAAATGTGAGATCCATTTGTGCACATGCACCCAAAGGCAGGACTTTGCTCCTGACAGGTGGTGCAACTGGCTGTGATTCCTTTCGCTCAACACATGTCATACAAACCGGCTGTGTTAAAATATCCAGTTTTCAAGGGTGGTCCTATTATTTACTGCCAGCTTCTTCTGGTGGTACCCCTTTAAGAATGTGAACATTCAAGATGGCATTGTGGGGATCTTTAATTGTTCTGACATGCAAAGCAAAATACACCTACCCTTTGTTGCCATAACAGATTCCTATGATTATCTAGTCACTCATGCCTATACAAATGGTTTGGGATTCATAAGAGTCCCATGGACTTGCATGCACACATTGAAACTTTTGACTGGGCAACACACAAATCACAACCTACTTTTGAGATCCCAGGTTTATAGGCAGTTTGTTATGTGAAATGCAGAGTTGCTGCTACTCATGAAAAACATCTAAATTGCCTTTTGGCCTAGGGAACTAGCTGATCAAATACATTATTCGGATCTTGTCTGTGATGCCTTCTTAGTGAGAGGGAAGCACAGCTACAACCCATCAGTCATGCTCTAAAGTGTTTGGTCTCGTTCAGATGTAGTGGTTCAGCCACAGTTTAAACTTGGCTGATTCTCACAAACTGGAGTTTAATCAAATCATGGTTCTTCAAATTGTGACTTCCGTGTGGGAACTGTGGTATGTTTAAAAATGGAAATGGGAAATTCTGATCTCATCCTCTGCTGCCCAAAATAAGAGGGGGGCAGGGCAGGAAATGTACCCACCTAAGGTAACAGAGTGGCAAACAATGGATTCCTCTTAGGTTTGAACCAGGACTATAATGTTAGCTTATGGAAAGCTCCTGTTTGGGAAGGCTCCACTATGCAATCAAACTATAGGCCTTATGCAAATGAAAATTGCATGGAACTTTCCCACAGACTTTATTTAGGCCTAAATATATAGTTACAATTAACCCTAGCATCTTGCCAGATTTTACAGCTGCCACTGATAATTTGCACAATACCAAAAAATGCAGTTGTAGGAAATACTGAGAAGTCACTGTGTATGTATTAATGTAACCAAAAGCTGAGTTTAGCTATTTGGCTAGTAACGCTGCATATTTGCTCATCAGCTTTCAAACAGTACAGAGATCATTCAGTTCATACCATCAGCTTTACACAACTACAGTAGCAAGTATCTCTTACAGCCTTTTGAGGCAAGTGTTTTTGTCACACAGGCTTTTTAAGAAATAGAAACCACAAGGGGAAAAACAGCAGGAGCATATTTAAAGTCCCCTTTCCCCCATACCAGAGAATATAAACTACAAAAAGCCCATAATTCCATCTTAGAAGTTATAGCACTGCCTGCACTGTTAAGAAACAAGACTTAATGTAGTCACTCAAATTTATTGCATGCCTACACAAATTGTGACCCACCAAACTGAACACAGCTCACCAGCCATGTATTACAGCCTTTTTGGTGCTTGTTGACATCCCATTTGTTTTTGAAGCCCCAGACAGGCAACCTAAACAAGAAACTTTCACAGCAAGCCCCTGGGACCCACCATATATGGCTATGTTTGACTTGGTGGGTCCAAGTACAGGCATGGTTTACCATCTTGACTTTAGCTCAACTGGCTGTGATTTCCATATCTTTTCCCAGTCTCCTGAAGGCCAGTGAATGCTCTGCACTAAGGGACTTACTCTTGGGCAAGGGTGCATAAAATTGCAGTCAGAAAAACAAAATTCTGCAACAAGGAAACCCAAATTCTGCAAGAGGGAAACCAAGTAAAAAATATGTGGCAGCTGTAGACTGTTATGCAAGCCACATTAGCAGAAATCCCCTCTAAAAAATTCCCTCCCAGGCGCCTCCTTATCTGTGAAAATTATGCAAACTGAATTATTTTGCATGGTTTTCTGGAGCTTTTCATGGTTTATTTTGCTTTTGTTAACCGTGAAAAAAGACAAGGAGCTGTATGGATTACTGAAACCACACTCCTGACAAGTGGAAATGTTATTCGGCAAAACTGTCTTCAACAACCTGGTGTCCTCCAGATGTTCTGAACTACAACTCCCATCAGGTACTAGGTTGGTGTAGGCTACAAAAACTCCTCTGTGGGGCTGCCTTTCAAAATTGCCTGGAAGCTCTTTCTGGCTCAA